ACTGTTATTTTGCTCCCTCTGTACATTCATCACCTCCTAGCTGGCAGGAAGCCTTATGAAAAGGTCATCACCTTGTTCCCCTTAAAACCTCATCTTCAAACTCCTTTGTCCTGATATCTGAAAAGAGGGAAGACAGCAGTGAAAGAGCTTGGGTGCTGAGATCCCTCTAATTGTCTCCCCGTGGTGCTCTGCTCAGGACTTAGATACACAATCGAGTTACTACATCTTAGCAATTACTGTGCGTCTGCCGAGCCAGGGTAGCTCCCAACACGTGTGACTTACACTTTTGGCAGGCGAGATTTCACTTGGTGGAGAGCCTTCACTTAATTTACACTGCAATGAAAACAGTTTAGCCTAGTTGCCGTACCTGCTCTTTGCTGCACACAGAATCGCTGTGGATGAGCTGGAGAGCAGTATATGGCTGCAGCATCAGTAGCAGCATCTCTGAAACAGTATCCCAGCCTCATCGGGGCCTATGCCTGGTGCTTCTGCAGCAACTGTGCACCCCTGAAACGGGAACTGGGGAATTTCTTCTGTGCAGCACCCGGAAGACGATGCAAGGCTCCCTTACATGCAAGGCTGTCATTCACAAGTGCACTTCTGAAGTAATGAGACGCTCTTGCACTATTTTTCTTGCCTTTCATTTTCTAACCATGGCCAAACACAGGAGGCTTCATCTGAAAATAAGGAAATACTTTTTTACTGTGAGGGTAATCAAGAACAGGTTGCCCAGAGAGGTTGTGAAGTCTCCGTCCTTGGAGGTTTCCAAGCAAGTCCAGAGGAGGCCACAGACAAGACAGGCTAAGAGTGTTGGGGGTGTTCAGCCTGGAGAGGAGAAGGCTCTGGGCAAAACCTTTTATAGGATCTTCCAGTACCTGAAGGGGCCTACAAAAAAGCTGGAGGGGGGCTTTTTACAAGGGGCTGTAGTGACAGGACAAGGGGTGATGGCTTTAAACTGAAAGAGGGCAGGTTAATAGTAGATATAAGGAAAAACTTCTTCACGGTGAGCCTGATGAGGCACTGGAACAAGTTGCCCAGAAAAGCTGTGGATGTCCCCTCCTTGGAAGTGTTCAAGGCCAGGTTGAATGGGGCTTTGAGCAACCTGGTCTCGTGGAAGGTGTGCTCATGGTAGGGGGTGGAACTAGATGGTCTTTAATGTCCCTCCCTACACAAACCACCTTGTAATTCTATGGTTCTATATCCAAAAGCCATCTGGACATGCTCCTGAGCAGCCAGCTCTAGGTGGCTCTGCTTGAGCAGGGACATTGGGTCAGATGACTTCCAGAGGCCACTTCCAACCTCAACCATGCTGTGAAAGCAGGAAGCTGAGTGCTGGTAAGACATGTTATGAGGTTATTGTTATGGTAGATGAGAGTTAGTTGTGGCTTTTTCAAATTAAACTTTTCTTTTTCTTTTTTGTTTGTGGGGTTTTTTTAATTGGAAAACCTCATCTCATCAAAATAGATGTACCTTTTAGGAGTAGGTGCACCAGTTTGACAGTTGTAACGTATCTGACCAAAATGAAATGCAAATCCCACAAAGGCAAATTATTTCATGACTGGGATAGGGAAAAATTGTTAACCAGTACCACCCTACCAAGGGAACTCTGTTCACACCTGGTACTCGAACCTCCTTTTTCCACAACGTAGAGGAGAGCATGGAGCACAAACCTACTGGCAGTGGGATACTTTCCAGCTCTCGTTGTGAATCTCCCTCACTGCTGATTATGTGTTACTGAGTTGTAAACCCTGGTCTTCTTTCTCATTAATTCTCCAGGAATACAGTTTGAAAAGATTGCGTTTCAGTTTGAAAGGAAGTGGGAAATTTTGGAAACCTTGTGAACTTTCAAAAGCTGGAGATACCATTTCCAAGTCACAAAGTTCTGCCTTTTCTGGTATTGCCGCTTACGTTTTGTGGCTTCAATGTACTTCCTTAATACATCATCCTGGGGAAAATCTGTGTTATACAAGTGGTGAGAAACACAGGTTAATGGGAAATGATTCTGGAAAACAGCACATCAAACTTCGGGTGCTTGGAACTCTTTGCCTTCCCATTGACAGAAGATCAGACTTTATTACCAAAGACCTACCATTGGTGGGGAAACTGAGACCCAGAGATATCACAAAAACTGGCTGCACCTTCACTGGAGGTCTGTGGCAGAGCTGGGATTTGACCTTGTCACATAAAAATGTCAGTTTAATACTTCAGTCTAAAGTTTACTCCTTGTAAAACTCAGAGTAAGAACTAAACTTGTGAGGCACCTTTCCAAATTTTATGTTCATTTTCAATATAGAAAGCAATCAGGTAAGTAGACATAATTAGGAATATTGTTTGCTGTGAGGGGAGATATCATCATGTGATCATGAGGATCACATGAGCCAAAATTGTGGGGTGGTAAAATCCCTGTCTTCTAACCTTGTACTTTGGTACATCCCAGACATCTAGTACAGAACATGAGAGTTATTAGAAAGGTTTGTTGCGTCGCGCCATGTGTGTGGATTTGCGCATCAGCAAGTGACATGAGCAGCAAAGGGTGGGCGCAAAACTCCTCTGGGAAATGAGTTTCCCTAAAATGAGGGACCTTTTTGTCATTATTTTTTAATCCCAGTGATGCTGTGTCATTGTGCTTCCCTCTACCTTGGTTTCCACATCTGCTAAAGCATTAAAACAACTTTTGAACATATTCTTGAGAGCAGTGAGAAGAATAACAAAAAGAATCAAACAATTGTGAGGAAATGAATTTTAAAAGAAGAAATAGGAGAAATATGAGGAAATTAAGCAGAAACAAACACCCCTTAGTTCACTGAGAATAAGCAGCGAAGATTCAAAGCCACCATGAAAACTAAAGGCATTCCCAAACAGAGGGGAGAAGTTCTGAGCGGGAAATAGGAAGCAGAAAAGTTCAGATAATGGGATCCTTTGTAAAGAAGAAGAAATAACAGACATTACATAACATCTCAGGAAAAAAAAAATGACTGAACAGTCATGTCCTTGATTTGTTTGCACAAGATCTGTTATGATCCTGATATTAACCCTGGTAAAAAGAAATGCAAACAATGACTGCACAGAAAAAAAAAAAACAACTGGGCAACAGGAACCCACCAAACTGTGCTAAAGTTAACTTCAATTAGAGCAGTTGTTAAAATGAACAAAGGCACCAGAGCCTTCATGGAGTTCAGTTCTGTTTTAAAGAAAAATTACAGTGGCAAGTTTTAGGTGTCAAAATCCACCTGTCAGGGGGATTCATGAAGTTAATTAAGCCAGGGGATAGGGTGCTGCTGATTTCAGTGCGAGACAGGTCTATGGTTAGGAAGATGTTCAGATGACTCAATTGTCAGAAATTCCTGGAGGTGATGCTTGAATATTCTCATGACTCACAGCTGCATAATTGATTTGCTCCTGTTTGCAGAAGTTTTCTTATTCCTGTGTGCAAAGAACCCCATTGTTGGAAATGTTTGCAAAGCTCTTGAGTTTCACTAATGTAATTCTTCATCTGAGAAGCAAGTTTTGACTGTTTTTTGGTTTGTTGTACCAGCTGTCCAGTCAGGGATGGCAGGCAGTTTTATGTGATAAATGACAGGAAAGGAATGCCACAGTGTTTTGATTCACGTAGAGATGGACAGGGTAGGGACTGATGGTCAGATTGGATGCTGGAAAATTTGCAGTGTACTGTTGGATGTGTTGCTGCTTTTTTATTTTTGCCTAACAAGCATCTATCTTGACCTTTTAGACTGTGAGCCTCGTAGAGTTGTATCCTGGGTGGATTCTATGTCTCTCCTTTTTGCTTGATTGATGTCTGTACAACCCCTAGCCAAACAGGACCCCTCCCAGTAACTAGTATCCCTGTTGCAGTCACACTGAACTTGCAGATATTTTAGAAAAGAAAGGAGAAAGTTAAATTTAGTATCCTGTGCTCCTGACAATAAATAATGCCCTTACTTCTGTTCAGAGAAGATTGATTCAACAGAGAAGTGAGCTTCTACCAAGTACAAGCTAGGTGGCTGCCACTGAAATCTTTTTAAGGACAATGTGCACTTCGTAGGCTAACTTTGAACAATAATTCTAATAGTCATCCAAACTGGAGATGTCCAAACAGCTAATTGCCTTCTGTATGGAAATGTGCATTTGAGGTTCAGCTGGGACAGGAAGCAGAGATGTCTCAAGAAGTGGGAAGTGCTTTGCTTGGTATACACTGGACAGCCCATCCTGGATGGACCAAGAAGTTCAGAGCAGCAGAGGCATGTAAACTTGACAGTTTTGTCAGTTTTGGCTGAAGGAGAGAGATGTCTTTATGTTAATTTAGGCTCTTTTCAGCCTGTTGGGAGGCCCTTTGCTTAAGAATCCAGGAAATCTTCCTGCCTTTGAGTATACATGTTAAAACAGGCAAGACAGGTTGTCCGTGTCTGTCAGTTTTTTCCCCTCATAGCCAAATTTTCAAGTGTTTGTTTCTCAAACAAGAGTGCAGTAAAATTCCCAGAAATCACATTCGATCAGGTCTCTGCTTGTAGGCAAGGTCTAGGTTTTGAGGACTGCATTCAGTTCCCAGACCTCCGACCTTACCTACATAACATGAGGGGAGCACTTTTTCTATCCCTCTCTTGTGAAGTGAAAGATGTAAATACTTCACTGCTGTGTTTCACTGAAAAATTTTCCAGGAACAAAGGCAATATGACAATAACACTCTCAGTGTTGGTACAGTGCCAACAATCAAAGGTCTGGGTACAACTGGCGTTATGGTACCATTAAAAGATATGTTTTATGGGCACCTCAATATTAAAATGTAGTTGGTTTTGAGATCTGAACTTTATGACCCAGTGGGTCCCTCCCATTTACATCTTCTGTGTAACATGAACACTTTAAAACAGTGAAAAAGTATGAGAATTTTACTCCAAGTGTTACAAAAAAATGTACTCTGGTATTTGAATCAACAAAGGGCAGACATTTGTTTAAGACCAAACTGAACATTTCTTTTTACATCATCTTCTTCTCTTTTCTTGCAGGGAACGTGACCAGGAATTGTACAAGCCAAGGCTGGACAGATGTGTACCCTGCGCCGTATGCCGTAGCTTGTGGATACGATTCCAACAGCACTCCAGGGGAAGAGGTTTGTAAACCTGGATGGCTAGACATCAAGATTTACCAGGGATCGATACCAGAATCACATCATCTTGCCATCCATTCCCACTCTAATTCCTCAAGAAGGGAGGATTTTCTTGAGGATCCCTAGAAGCAGAGATCAAGTGTCAGGTCAAAGAGCTGATCCACCCTTTGGTTTCCAGGGGGGGTGGCAGGAAATCAGCACCTGAGAAGATCAGACCAGATGTCCACGCATAACTTCAGGTGCTTGATTTTCCATGGTCAACTTCGAAACAAGCCCTCCGCATTTGTATTTATCCTTAAGTTGATAGGCTGACAGGCTTAAGTGACAGTTGGGGTTGTTCAGACTGGAGAAGAGAAGGCTCTGGGGAGACCCTATAGGACCTGCCAGTGCCTGAAGGGGCCAACAAGAAAGTTGGGGGGGACTTTTTACAAGAGCACATAGTGACAGGACAAGGGGTAATGGGTTTAAATTGAAAGTGGAGAGATTGAGATTGGGTATCAGGAAAAATATTCCTCTTGGTGTGGCTGGTGAGGCACTGGGGCAGGTTGCCCAGAGAAGCTGTGGATGCCCCATCCCTGGAAGTGTCCAAGGGCAGGCTAGATGAGGCTTGGAGCAACCTGGTCTAGTGGAAGGTGTCCCTGCCCATGGCAGGGGTGTTGGAACTGGATGGTCTTTAAGGTCCCTTCCAACCCAAACCATTCTGTGATTCTAGGATATGGTGATTTCAGTATTTCTAGACCAACGTAAGAATGAAAAGATCAAAAGAGATAAAAGGACATTACTCACTTGCAATCAGTGTTGCTCTGCTGATCTCAACAAGTTAAATATCTAGAAAACTGCAGGGAACACACTAATTTTCATGCAATGTGACCAAATTTTATAAGAAAATCCACAAGCTGTGATACTACCTGTAAGTAAATTGGTAGTCACTGACCTAGGTATAATTATCTTTATAAAGTGTTGTCATTACAGAGGAAGGAGTTGATTATTGGTTTGCTACATGCTGAGACATGAAGGGTAAAGTCCAAAGAGAATAACTAACAGAAGTTGTTAGAAGTGAGATTCACCTCACCTAACCAGAAGTTCAACTTCTAATCTAGTCACTTGTAAGTGTCCCATAGTCAATAAGAAAAAACTTGTGCTAGAAAATAATTGTACTTCACGGCAGCCGTATCTCTATATTGAACCTACGCCCATGCTTTTTTCTGCTGTGTGACATATGTCAGTGTTTGTGAATGTTGGACACAGGAGTCTGAATAACGAGTTAATGGAGAGTCTGAACAGAGCTGAGCCAGCCTTAAGAGGGAAAGAAGACATAAAATAGGAAAGTGGAAGTTGCACAAAGAATTTTAAGGCTCTGATTAAGAGACCGTTAGTCTGCCTTCAAGGTCAGCCACCACTTCACACCCTCAAGTGTCCCATTCCTCAGCGAGTTGTGTGGTACCAGTAGCACACTGCGAAAGCCATTGTTACGGGTCTGCTTCAGGAAGGTCCTTCACTGAGAGCTCTGCTTTATGCTCCAGCTACAAAGGGGATTTGGGAATTCCTGGGACATGCTTTGGCCACCCAATGGATTGCAGCGTTGCCAGAGTGCCGCGTTACCAAGAGAACACGTATTGTGTTCTTTTAATTCTTTCTTAATTATTTTCTCCCGATTTCCGCAGTTTTGTCATGCTGTTTAAGTCTAATTTGTGTGAAAGGTGGCTGAGGGGAGTGAACATGCAGTACTAGCCTGTGAAGAAGAATAGATTTTTGTTGTTGTTAAATTGGCTGTCAGTTTGGGGAGGAAGAAGTGAAGGGAATCAAAAAAAAGAGAAAAACAACAGGCTGTATGGGACGTGAGGTCCAGAACAGATTGATAGTCTTCCATGGTTGAACACTTCATGCACTTTGAATGCCTACTGGTCACCAGTCAGAAACAAGAAGAAAGGTATGAAGAAATAAATAAGGACTGTGTGTAAGATTTTACTTGTGAATTCTGGCAATCCCTAAGAAGCACATTACGTAGGCACCGAAGTAGTGCACTTATGATCTTTTCAGTGATAATGATTCCTTCTGCAGCTTGACGTTGAAAAACCACGTATTAGCAAACGGGGGGATTGTTTTGTTGTCCTGTATTCAGGTATGAGTGCTTCTTAGACCACAGATCTCCAAGATGGCTAAAAGTAGGTGTCTTTAGAGCCCCACTGAATGAATCCGCTTCACTAAGAGCTTTGGGTCAGGAACTCTTTGCACTCTCTGAAGGCTCTGTCTTGTTTTAACACCCCTCCAAACTGGCTTGTGCAAATGCTAAAGGATTACTACTCCTCTCAGCCTCACTGGTTCTGTAAAGTACTTAGTACTTGTCAAGACCTATGAAAATAGCGTATAAAAATGTCAGTCCTCACTGTATTACAGAGTGTTTTCCCAAACAAGGTTGGGGTTATATTTTCTGTCTAAGCTGCTCTTCGTGGTTTTCTTTGTTTGTTTGTTTGTTTAATAGAAAATGGTGACAAGGAGGACAGGGGAGGATCAATCAAGGACTGGAAAATAAGATTTCCCACAAACTGAGTTAGATTCTCATAAAAACTTGGATTTTTCATTGATAAATGAAAAATGTCCAAATACCAACTGATCTTTTGTCCTTTTTCTAAGCTGAAATTCAAAATACTGAGTGTTGCTGGAAAACCTTCGAAGAGTTGGAGTTTTGTTGCCTTACTTCCCCATTTTATTTAGACTAGAATTCCCTGTTGGATTCAAGTCCTATGGTGCCCCATGCTCAGAAATTCCCTCTGTGTGCTGTCAAAGAGAAAAGCCATGAACGCGTTTCCAACTTTATACATATAGTTCTGAATTAACCTATCTGTGATTTCAGTGAGAACATTTTAAGTTATTACTTGCCCAAACACAGTGTCTAGCTTCCACAAAATCAAACCAATTTCCAGATCAGTTCTCTCCTCAAACTTCCTTAATAAGATGAAGCTCATCATACTCACCACCTCAGAGCTGATGTGTCAGTGCACTGTTTAACTGAACATTAGTCATTCTTGTTCCACAAGATCATAACCATGTAGCTGTCTCTGCAATTGTCAAATCAGATTCCTTCCTGAATGCACTTTTCCCTTGTGTAACTGTAACCTGGTTTTGGACTGATCCAAGCTCTACTGCAACTGGACACGTTATTCTTATTCACACTGGAGGTGATGGAGCCATGTACTCTGCTGGTTGTGATTTTAAAGGGTGAAGGAGTTGGAGATTTTTTAAAAGGAAGGAATAGGATGATTTCCTTGTCTCACCAAGAAAGTCAGTAAAGTCTCAGTGAAGGTGCATTTAGGAATTCATGTTGGCAGCTCTTTCAAAGACATGTTTTCTTCCTTTCCTTCACACCAGCAAACGGCGTTCTATGGCACAGTCAAGACCGGCTACACCATTGGACATACGTTATCGCTCATTGCTCTCACGGCTGCTATGATCATTTTATGTCTCTTTAGGTAAGAACATGAGCAAAAAAGACATAGCTAAGGGAATGTTTAAGTTAGATGTTAAGTAAGATGTTTAAGATATTAAGTAAGATGTTTAAGCCTGTTTAAGTTACAGGCCATGTGTTACAGATGGATGCAAAAGACTTCTGTCAAGCCTCAGTTGGACATGGGGAAGAAAGTTCCTCTGTCTTTCATCACAGCTGTTTTCTGGTATGTGAGTTGTGACCTTTGTGTGAGAGTTATAACCCAAATCCAATTATTTAGGTGGGATTCATTGCACTAAATGTAGATTGTTACGTGATGGATCTCTATTAGAGGCCACTATCCCATAATCTTACTATAATCCACAGACACCTAGTCAGTCTGGTATGTATGGATGCTATGGAATGATGCATTTCTACTAAAATAGGTATTCAAAAGGGCACAGGTGAACCACACCCCAAAAATACCTCCCAAAGTCTTTTTCAGAAGCACTTCCTACTATAGCTCTATGGCAAGACACAGACACCCAGAGCCACTTTAGACACGCGGGTGCCTCCAAGATGTGCACAAGGGTAGCAGATATGATGCAGGACCTTCAGGAGACCCAGGCCTTTATGGGTTGAGGGGCAGAAATTCTGCAGCGTATCAAATAGCATTAGATGCCTAGATTGCAGCAAATGAATTAATCCTCAGTCTCTGTTGTTTATAATAGATTCAGACATCTCAATTTGGGTGTCTCCAATGAAGAAATCTGCATATAAGATAATCTATTATGATGTTATTTACGTATAAAGAGAACAGCAAAACAGTAGACCTCCATGAGATGGAAGAGCCTTCTAGATGTGATTCCACCTCATCATGCCACTCTCCACTGGCTTCCCTGGAATGCATTATATATGGTTGTGTAGTTTATGACAGTCTGGTCCAGACATCATCCCCCAAAGCAAGCTGTAGGAAGCAGGATATATTCTAGGGTAACTCCCACACTTATACCAAGACTGGCCTCACCCTCCAAGATCTTTGCACTTCTCAGCACAGGCGCCCTCTTCACTCACCTTAAAAGGGAAGAGAGAATCAGACACACATGCAAATTACCTCAACAAGGTGCAAGGTGTCAGCCAAGTGGGTGAAGCTGTCGGGGTTCACGCTCTTCATTTGTGGGAAACAGCGTAATCTGACTTGCCTTCGCTTGCAAGTGCAGAGGACTCAGCTCGGTCACATTATTTTGCCATCATCAGAGATTAAGAGCGTAAACTCTGCCAGTGCACAGTGACTCATTTAGAGGTGGTAATTTGATCATGTTGCTGAGTGAGGTCTGTTGTGGTTCTGATGACTGTACAAAGTACCCATTTCCAGAATATTAGGCCTTTCACTTTAGCTGATATAAAGTCTCACTTGCAAAAAAAGACCTACTTGATCAGAATTCATCTTCAAAATATTAGTGGGCAAGGGATAGAAAAACCCTGGTGTTATTCACAATACAATCAATTACTAGTCATTTTTAAGTGAAAATACACTTTGTGTTGCTCCAGAAAGCCTGTAATATGTGTTAATTTTGGCAGCAGCTGCTAAGAATTTATTTCTCTTCCTGAAGAAACATTTCACGTTGAAAAGAATTATTGCAGTAGAGACATTCTGTAGAAAACAGACCTTTATCATGAGCACAGTTTGCTCAGTCAAAAACATTTCTTTTCCAGTGGAGAGCAGGGTGATGGACCTGCTTTCTGTCATTCTATGTTCTGACCTTTTTTTCTGAGAATTAGAAAAGCAGCAACACTGCTGCAGATGTATGGATTGCCACATGTTCTCTGGGCTTAAAAAGGCTTAAATGGATTTGTGGTGATTTACAGCAAAACACAGCCTGTCTCAGGGTTTCTAATGTTTAATTGTAAGTCTGTGTCTTGGCAGAGGAAACATGCAAATAGATAAATAATGCTTTTGAGAAACCTAGCTATTCAGAAGTGTTGTTCCATTTCTTCCCAACAGAAAGCTACACTGTACTCGAAATTATATTCATATGCACCTCTTCATGTCCTTCATAATGAGAGCCATCGCAGTCTTTGTAAAAGATGTCATCCTATTCGAAAGTGGAGAATCTGAACACTGCTTTGTGAGTTCAGTAAGTAGCTGTGCACATCGAAGTTTCCACCTTATTCTGTTGCTCCTCTTAAACAATGCACCAAAAATTACCTTGCAAATGCATATGAGACAGTACTTTGGGAAGATATCAATTATTTTTTCTCGTTTGAAAGAAAAAAAAAATGATTGCTGCAGTTTAATTTGTATGGAAATGGCATAAAATAAGTTAGTAAGGTCAAAAGTTTATAGGCATCTTGTCCCTTCTGAGGTCAAACCCACAGCTGAGGCTCTACGAGATTCTGGGGCTTCTGTCAGTCCTGTGTGCATCTTCCAGTCCGAGGCTACTTTCTTGGTCAAAGGAGACTTGCAGTCCTGTGTTTGCAGATTCAATAAAACCTTTCCCTTAGTAAGGATGGGAGTCAAATCCAGATTCACATAACTGACTTGAGGTATCTACGAAGTGCCTATACATGAGCTATATGTGTAAAACCAGTCGAGCTGTAAGTAATGCACTCACTGGAGTCTGAAGAGCTGTTCACCTCTCTTTGAAGAAGGCACCTGCATTTGAATGGCTCTCTGGGCTCCACTGTTCGTAATGACCAGATCTCTGCAGGTGGTTAGGCAGGAAATCTAAGTGTAGACATCACTGTCTATTTTTTATCTGGATCTTTATCCCATGCTAGCTATCTGCAATTTTGAGATTTCCCCACTGGGATAATAAATGAGGGGAATAAAGGAGTTGGGATATTTCTTCTCACTTTGAAACTCAGTGTTATCATCTGGAACAAATATTAAGGGGAGAGAAGATCTGCTTATCTGAAGGCCATATTGAAGTAAGAGGACACTAGTTTGAATAAATTTAGGCAGGAAATTGAAATTACTAAAATAAAGAGATGTGATCAGAAGTCATCCAAAAAAAATAAAAAAACCAGGGGGGAACCCTCTGTGATAAATTCATAATGACCTGCTTGCTGTGCTTGCTGGTAACAGCAGGGGACTGTGCACAGCAGTCTGAGAGATCCCTTCTGGACTTGGGTTTTTTTATGTTATACAGCACCAGAAAAAGATTCTCTTTTTCTCTTCCATCCACCCAATTTATTCCTTGCCTTCTGGCTTTTCTGTGTCATTACCCTGCGCCCTGTCCCTGCTGTTAGAATGACCCTTCTGCTTGTGCACCTCTCAGCTGATACCAAAGAGCAACCTGCTCCCAGCTTTTCCCTGTCTGCAGCACGATGTGTTCCCAAAACTCTGAGGGGTTTTTTCCCCTCTGTGGCCCACTGGGGTCTGTATTCTTTAGCAGTGGGGGTTTATTGTGAAGGTCTGTGAATGGTTAGAATGACATATACGTTGGAATGAACAATTACCCGGTGTCTGCTGCCACAGATAACTGCCAATGCTAGTTGGCAGAGGAGCCAAGAACCCAATCAGCCATGGAGTTTGAACTAACCTCTCACCCCTGTGGGAGTTTGCACTGGGTCATGGCTGAGGCATGACTGCAGAAAGCCATGTGAGAAGCATTTGCTTCAACTGTCCGTCAAGAAACACTTCTGTGTATAAATACAGGACTTTGTACTGCAGAATCCACAGCTCCTGGAAGCCAGTGTGCTTTCAGGCAGACCTATGGCTACCGCCATTGTGTGTATTTCTCCCCATCAGAGGATTTTCATGTTAAATGCCAGCTCAGGGTGAATGGCTGGATGATACACAAGAGTTATAAAATATGTGGAAGAAATCTTATCTCTGCGGCACAAGGCTGAGCATACCCCTTGCAAAATCTCCACCTGCCTTGACCCAATATTTTTGGACAACCTTTTAGATTATAGGGAAAAATTACCAACATGAATTGCAGTCAAAATGCCTCTCCTAATATTCCTCTGTTTCAAGAAATAGTTCCAAATACCATTGTACCTTTTAGGTTATAGGGGATCATTACCAACATGACCATCCATTACCAACATTACCATCCATTGCAGTCAAAATGCCTCTCCTAATATTCCTCTGTTTCAAGAAATAGTTACAAAAACCATTGTGTTTTTGTGGGTTTGGTTGGGTTAGGTTGGCCTGAGTTTGTTTAAATAACTACTTTGTGCTTTGAACTTGCAGAATAAAATTTTGACTTGGGAGACCTGGGCACTAGTTCAGATACCCAGGACCTAACACGCAATTTACTGAAGGTTTTGTGTATAATGTCTAGTTATGGCCTTGAGCTCTTTCAGTCTGAGGAGAGATTTGAAGAAAGTTCAATTTACTGAATGCTCTCACCACTATTCTATTTTAGAAGAGGATAAAACCAAAGCAATAACAGCGGTTTATTAGAAAAGAAAGTACTGCTCTTAGTTCCTTAAGAAAAAAAAAAATTATAGACAGACCCCCTTCCAGAACAGACAGATTCAGGGCTATAAAATCCAAATGAACAGACATCTCTCCCAGCATTTCTGATGAAGGGACCAAATTACTGAATTTGGCATTACCTGTTGCAGTAAGAAGACTTACAATTGTTTTATGCACCAGCCACACAAAAATAGGCGTATACTCAAGTCTGTTAGTCAATCTGGGCTCTAAGCACTCAGGTGTAGAGATGGTCAGGCTAGGAGGGGTCTGTGAAATCACCCAATCCAACTTCTTCAATAACTCTTCACTTCATTCAGAATACATTCTGTCTCAGTGATCAGACATTTCCAATGAAAAACCCACCACACGTGGCTTTATTGCATCCAGAGGTTATTCATACTGCCTGAAGAATTGTGCCACTTTCCCACCTGTATTTGCCTGCATTCTTCTGGGGTTTTTTTCACTGCCAGACTCAAGAGGCCTCCTTACAAGTTTTAGCTTTTCACATGAGTTTTCTTAGGCGTAGTGACCATTCGTCTTGGCATTCCCACACCCCCTTTTCTGCTTTCCCTGGAGAACACTCTGTGAAACACAGTAGCCAAAACAGCAAATTTGGTAGAAGGAATGAACTGAACACTTCGGTTGTCATTTAATTTCTTTTCTTTTTTTTTTTTTTTTTGTGGTTCTATGGATAGGTTTTGATGTAGTTTCATTACTATATTACCTAGATAACATAATGATGAACCACTTACATTTCCAGCCTAGCTGGAGACAAAGAAGGCGACAGTTTGATACAAAGAAAGATCAAGTTCTACAGACTGAGTTCAGGCTGGATTTTTCTAAGCTCTGCAAATTTGCCTTTTCTGAGGATTCATACAAGGTAGACTAACTAATTTATCTTTTTCCTTTTGCAATCCAGTAAGACAACCAAATTTTAACAAGTTCTTTGCAAAGAAGGTTAGGACTTTTAGCAGTTGTGAACATATACACATATCTCATATTTTCAGTGTGAAAAATTAGTTTTCTTTCACACAATGTTCCTCAGGCCAAATTGATAACAGCTACAGGCCCCCTAAATAAAGTTTATATTCAGAAGCTGAAGACAGAAACATTTTATTTTCCAGCGCACCCCCAAACTGAGGCTGCTCAGATCCATATTCTGTGCCATATGTGGGACTGCCTCGATATACAGGCTGTTGGCAAGATGGAAGAGTATAAGAGTTTTATGTACTTGTGTGAAAATGAAACCAATATTAGAGACTCATCCCTTTCATTGTGTTACATCCTCTAGGAAAGACACCTACTCCCAACTACACAGAGGAGGGTGAGCTCTCCTTAGCAGCACAGAGAGGCTTCTGCTGAACTTTGGCTGACTGGCTTAGGGGAAGAGCCTGGCAGAACTATGTCTGAAGACAATGGGAATCTTTCCCTTGACTTTAATTGGACTTGGGTCTGTCCCCAAAATGTGTAAATACATCATCTGACACTTTTTCATTAGCTCAGCCCATTGCTTCAGAATTGCACCCCATCCGCTGAGTTCAGTGGGACCATCCAGGCGCAAAGGTGCTGCTTGAGATAAGGAAGTGCTTTAGAGTTTGTCTTGCCATGGAAATGAGGCCCAATGGGAAATGAGGTCCACCTTCTTTTGATCAGCTGAGTAGAGTGAAGGAGACCCTCACTCTTACCACCTAATAAGTAGCAGCTGCATTTGGTTTTCATCCAACGGAGCAGCACAAGGAGCAAAGGAAATATTACTGCTCCTGAAATAGAAGTTTCTCACTGTGCTTTTCTACTCATGTCTGACCTGAATCACCTCACCTTGTCCACAAATTCCTGTGAAACCAAGCCAAATAGTTCCTGTTGCCTTCAGGAGATGGGTGTTGCAATGGACTGGCCTCAGTTCTTCTTTCTGAGCTTTTTGACAGTGTTTGGTTTCCACTCAGGATTCTGCTGAAGATCTCTATGATGTTGCTGTCACAACACAAACCTAACACACCCATCTCCTAGTCCATGTTTACCATCAGGTTAGATAACGGGATTTGCATCTGCCAGACTTCTATGGAATATTATCCCCATATCTGCTGATATGCCTGTTTCTGCTGATACCAGTATCTGCTGATCACTGCTACAATCTAAGTTTTACAGCAAAACATATAACAGAAGGGAAAAAAAAATAGAGAATTCTCCTGTAAACGATACAAAGAAGTAAAAAACAACAGAAAGCAAGCAGGGGGAAGAAATGAGGCATTGTATGTTTGCCAGATCTCTTTCAAGTCTCACACCAGCACTTTAAATTTCATTTCAGCAAAGGTATTAAGACACTTCTAGAAAGGGCCATCAGATGGAGGCAAGTTGGGGAGATAAGACAGAAGGATATTACAGCTACATTCCTTAATTAGCAGAGGCCCTAATGGTGAAAATATTAGCCGAAAGTAAAAAATAAAAACGTCTCACATGTCCTCTCTAAAATCAGTGCCAAAGTTAAATTAAGGATTTAGCAACAATTTCAGTGAATGCAGGGGGTGTGAAGTAATGAGAAGCTATAAGTAAGAGGTTTGGGATGTTAACTGCCCATGGCCAGTAGCAGCCATGAGCATGGAAGATGGACTGATCATCCACCTAGACTGTTTTTATGTGGATTTTGAAATTTTCCAGAGATACCCCATCCAGGAATGTGTTATCATCTCTTCTAGAACAGAGGAGGTCTCT